TTTGATGACTTTAAACATATAATAACAAACAGTAATATACTGTATGTGCTGTGTTATATCTTGTGGATCCTGGTAGAAACAGATCCTCCTACATGTTAAAAAGGCTTACATGTTCATTACAATTATTTCTGGGCAAAATACTATTTAGAAATATTATATTAAGCAATTTAACAAAAACTAATTTACTTGGCAAAATGCTTTTCCTGTATCTTGGAATAGAAACGGATGAAGTGGTCACTTTTCATTGAAACATAGTTGGGTGCAGCGTAGACTGGACTCTGCTGTTGGATCCTGACAGAAACAAAACACTGATAAATGCACAGGTTCTGAGATACAACGCTGCTGAAAAGCATGTTGAAGTTCAAATATTTTAATACTAAAAGCAAAAATAAATTCCAGTTTAAATTCTTACCTTCGACTTTCAGAATGCTGTCGATCACTGAAGTCTGGTCTCTGCAGCTCTGGGCTTCAACACAACACACACAGAGCTTTGAGAGTGAATAATGATGGTGGAGTGATTTGAGTCCTGGACAGTTAGAGATCCTCATCTCACCTCTGAGCTTTGGTCTGGCTGTCATGTTCCCCACACAGAGTGCTTTTAGAGGGAGGGACTCCCTCCTCTCTGTCCTCACACTGATTCATAGCAGAGCCCACACCTTCACACAAACACAACAACATGCTGAGAGAGCTGCACTCATTCATTACAACAAGCTTTACATCTCAGGACACTTTAGTTCTCCTTCCTCTCAGTAACATGACACAAATATTCAGGACCGACAGAAACCTTGTTGGAGCCCTAAACAGGATCTGATGACCCCAAAATGTGTTACACAGCCCCCAGATTCACCCAGAGGTTCAGTATGTTGTACACAAAACATATCAGATGTAGACTGTCAAGATTCGTTACAGTACACCCAAACATCACTGTTTCAATCTATCAATTTGGAATTTGGATAAATACAATATCTTTTATAATCTCAACAACTTCAACATTTACTTTAATCTCTAATTACTTTTGATCCCTAAGTGTTGTGTAGCCCCCAAAATGTGTTTGTTACAATCAAAACATTTATTGAACTAGTATTTATTTTACAATGTCAAGAAAATGAGCCCCAAATGTGTAATCTCAAACTTTAAAAGAGCAGCTGCAACGTAAGTAATCCTAAACGGCTCCAAAGCTTTTTCTGTTACAATCCCAAGAAATTGTTTAAATGCACCCAGATAAGTTATTTGCAATAATCCTACATGTAGTTAACGTGTCAAAACCCTGAAACTTGTTACATACTGCAGAACAAAATGCATTTTTGGGATTTCTGTGTGCCAAGAGAAAAGGTCTGTGTCTTTAAACCTTTATGTTTATCTTTAAATCTTTAAAGATCTGATGATATTTGGAACTAAATTGTTATTTTTTTTTACATATACTTTTATCAATTTTGTAATCTAGTTATGCATGATCATTTTAATGTATTTTTCTTGCAGCACTACTAAAAAAGTACGACAACAGTTTAACAGAGAGAAACAGGACAGTTCACATTTTCCATTCCTGTGAGGGATCTAATCAACCTCTAAGTTCCCTTCCACCCTGCTGGCTCTGGTCCATCTAGAAAGGATTCTGGATCCTAAAGGGTCTTCAGTGAAACCAAGTCCGTCTCAGTGTTGGAAGATGTCTGTATTTGAGCCCTGAACTCTTCATCCATGCACTTAACTTCAGAGTATTAACAGTTAAACCAGAAACCTGAGCCAAGTGGATCCAAGCTGTCAGACCAGTTCAGACACACCCTGCATGTTTCACTGATGATGTGAGCTCAGACTACAATCAGACTGCTGCTGATTCTACTTGAGAAACATGAACAATATTACAGGGAAATCTTTCTGAAATCATTGTTCTTTAACTCGGAGAGAAATTCTACAGCAGATTCCAAAGAGATATTTAGAAACAGCCAATCAGCATCAAGAAGCATTTCTACTGTCCAGTTAAACAGTGATCCAGCACAATGTGATCAAAGTGATCCTGATTATCAGACATTTACAGATTCCTCTGGTCGGATTCTCACCTGCTGAACTCACTTCAGGTCGACTTACAGACACTTTGCACCTTCATGTGTGGAGGAAACACTGGGAGAGAAGAAGCTGCTCATTTCTTCCTCGTCAGTCCTGGTGTCTGTGTGCATCTGATCTGAGGACGCCGTCACAGCCTCATAACTTCAGAGTCTAAAAAACATCAGAGTGACGTCAAAACCGGTCTAACCTGTGGCAGAAACCCAGTCAGTGTCAGAGGAATCACACATCAGGTGATGTAGTTCTGCTACCTGTCCACTAGATGGAGCTAACTAACCATCTGATGAACTAAAGCTCAGCTCAGCACTGGAAGATGTCATGAAGCAGCAGTGTGGATCAGTTGGTACACTACTAGATTTTGGACGCGTTGGTTTGTAATGAGGCAGAATGAAGCCTGAGATCCCCAGGCGGGGCCCTTCACTCTGTTCCTCAGTCCTGGTTCCTAACAAAGGGGGACCAGAACCTCCAGAACCTCAGGCTGCCACAGATGGTGTCTGCTATTAAAGCTCTTCTTCAAACAGACTTTGGCTTCCAAACACTTTTCTTTAAAGGCCTTTTTACTCGTTTGTCCCTGTAAAGACTTTACAGTTTGTAATTATTGTCACTTCTAATAGTGCTACTACTACAAATACTGCTTCTGTGATACAAGTACAATATCTACTGCTGGGACTGAAAACTGCTGAGAGGTCAGAGGTCAGGGTCCGGCTGTAGTTTAGCTGCTGTGTTTGCTTCTGTGAGGACAGGATTTGTGATGACACTTGGGAAAAGTGGGGATGGTTATATCACTGTTCAGTTGAAACAGGAACAAGTTATGAATAACCTGATTCACTCTGCACATGCTCAGTTTAGTCCTTATTCCACATGGGAAAAAGCAGCACCCTGTGGCAGACACAGCCAATTGGGAGGTAAAAAATAATTTTGAGGTAAGAAAGTATTATTTTCCACTGTTTGTGTCTATTTGGCCAAAAATCATAATTAATAGGAAACATCATCCATTTATTGAACTTTTAAAATTGGATGCTTCATTTTTTAGAAAATGATTATGTATTATGCAAAATAGCCCATGAAATAGGAAATATTAATCCAACATTTTTAACTTTAAACAGCATCTTAGAGCCAAGAGGAGGACAGTAACGCTGTGTGTGCGCACACGGAGTGGAGAAGAGCAGGTGACAGGTGAAATATTTGAAATGCTGAAATTCAACTGTGTTTTGTCGGGATGCAGTTAGTTAAACTAACGGTGAGAAAAGTATAAATCTGGGAAACAAAACAAAACAGCATGCAGCACAATAATCATTTGAATTTGATTAACTTGTTTTCATAATCGTGATTAAATTTCGATGAATTGCACAGCCCTAGTGTCTATGTAGAACGCTTTCGTGCAAGTTGTTGGTGTTAATGTTTTAGCTGTAAGCTGTAAACTAAGCTAGCTGGCAACAAGAGTTTGGGTTAGAAAACCTACACCAAGAAAACGTTTAGTTAACTTTCAGTATGCATCTGACACACAGTAATGTTTAATTGTTTCATTATTATGTTCAAATGTTAGTGTAAGACCTGTAGACTTCTCTGTGGGCCCATGAGGCTACTCTCCAGGAGTGCCGTATGTCTCTCACCACTGTTACACTTCACCCCAGGGTATGTTACAACAGACTGAGGGGTGAATAGTAAACCATGCATTTTCTGTCTGTGTTGCAGATAAAACAGTTACACCAAACATAAATGTCATAAATGTTACAACCATCCCTGAGAAACAGAGTAAAGTTAACACTGACTAAAACATTTGCTCTTGTATTGTGGAGCCTTTGCAGCCTCTATGGGAAAGTATTCAATTCAATTTATTTTATGTAGCGCCAAATCAACAACAGTTATCTCATAGTGGTGGAAGTTAAGTTATATATAGTTATATTTCTGTTATAGTTATATATAGTTATATTTCATGATGATACAATTATCATTAATATCATTATTATAACCAGATGTTGTCACATGTCATATTTTTATGTATGTTTAAAATAAAACTTAGAATTTAAAGTAGTCCATGAAAAGTGAACAGTAATGAGTTTCCAATTGATTCCTTTACAGACTTTGACTTCAATCATATAATCATCTCATTCTTCTGTAGAGTTTTGATACATAATAGTCAAAATGTCTAAATGATTCGTAAAACATATGCAGTCTCATACAAACCTTTCCTTAAATACTAATATTTAAAGTTATTCTACTGTTCAAAGTTTCAGAGAAATTGAGGTAAAATCAGTTCACTGTCAAAATGCAACGTAATTGACCTTTTGCTAGGCCACGCCCCCCTTAGTTACTAGTGCTAAGTCCGAAAAACTGTCGGAGCTCTCTGACTTTTATCACGGTGGTGCCACTGTGTTTTACGGCACTCCCAGGAGAAATATTGTGAAATTTGTTGGAAAACAAACAGTTTTGCAGTTTCATTATACATTTGAAGGTTGTATTCAAGCTGTCAAACTGACTCAAACTGACGTGGTCGGCCTCTGTTCATTATTACAGTCATTAAAAATCAGAATAGCAGGACTTTATTATGTTACATTCAGCAGGAAGTTAGCCAGCGTTAGCTAACTAACATTAGGAACAATCCACAGCCGACATTTTTCTGGATTTATTTCAGGTTTTGCAAAGTGAATAAATCGTCCTTCTCCTTTCAGCCTCTCTGGTAGCTGCTGTAAGTATTACAAGACGCTGCAGGAACAGAGTTTGACCAGATCTTAGAAAAATACAAATCTAATCTAATGTTACAATGCGTTATTGAACGTTCTCTCATGTTTAAACTTGAAAAACTTTTGCTCAAGTTTGCGGACAATTCTTATGGATTCATGTTCAGAACTAGGTTGACTTGAAACATTTAAACGGTGAAGTTGTTCTACTATATAGGTTTGAGTAAAATACATACATACAAAGTCAGTTCCAGTCTCATAACAGATCATAAAATCACACATTTATTTATCAGATTTCTCCAGTTGCCTGATGAGACGAGTTTAAAGACTATCAGAAAAGATAAAAAATGAAAGTACAAATGTGTTAAAGACTGAATAAAATGTAAATTAAATGATCAGGGAGGTGGAGGCAGAGGCTTAAAGTGAGAGTTTCTGTTCGCTGGTTGGATGCCTGTCCTTAAGAAACTCACGTTTGTGAATATAGAAAAGATTAAATAATGTCTAAAACAAATTTGTGCACAAATGATATCGATACAAACTTTGGCTCTGGTGTAGTGAACATTCTACACTTTTTAATATTAATAAACACTCGTTCTGGGGAACCTTTGAAGTTCAAGTAAACTCTTGAGAAACTTATTAAGTAATTATTCAATTATCCTCAAATCCAGGGATTCTAATTCTAATAAAACTGACAGTACTTGTTATAAAGTGAAAGTGTTTATTTAACTAAAGATGGTGAATACAAGTGGATTTAGTGTAATAACGGTAAAATAAACAACAACTGCTGCAGAGTTACAAAGAAACTCGCACACAGTCTAACATGCAAAATATATTTATGAACTAGTAATGTTTTGGTAGAAGACCTTCAAGCAAAAAGGATAAATTAATTGAACTGAGGGGTTTATTTGGCTACAGTCAAAGGAGTTGACTGCAGCACAAATACTACAGATCCACAGAAAAATACTAAATGTACTTAGTTTCCACGTCTGAGAAAATGTTCAGGTTCGATTAGATGAATTTAAGAGTTTCACCACCAGGAGGCGACATTTGCTCACAATCTGAGACACCACAGGAAGATTTAACAGGACTGTGGTCGGTATGAATAATATCTAGGTAACTGAATTAATAATCTAATGTAGACATTAAAAATGTACAAGAAAACTCACCCTCCCCTTTAATCCCGTTGTGTGTTTCCTGTGACCTTCCTGATTAAAGTTGAGGCTTTTGCACTGATGAATAAGAAAAACTTAAAGTAATACATCAAATTATGAAAAAAGCTCAGATCTTCTGGAGCTTTTGAACAGAAGACACAAACATGGAAACTTTAAACCATGTTTCAATGACAACTGAGTAAATCTAATTCTTCATCATCATCATCATCTTTAATGCTTATATACAGTTTAATTTATTGATTGTATAAAATTGCAGTTTAACAACAATATTCTTAAACTGCTGAACAGAAACTTTTACATTTCAAACTTTCATCCAGAACAGGAAGCAGACTCCTGACACTTAGTTAAAGGAAGTGCTTTGATTTCAGAATAAGAGTCGTCTAACCTCTCAATCAACTTCCTGTCGCCGGTTTTAATGAACGGAATAACAGCGGAGGTCACATATGATTCAGATCTACAGAACAATTATGTAAGAAAACAAGTAAAGAACTGGACTTCCTGCAGGATCAAAATATGTTTTATTTGACATAACTACCAAAAACCAAACTGTAGATTCTCATGTCTTTTACTTTGAAGAGCCAATGCTATCAGTGTTTCCTCTTCCTGTTCAGTTTAAAGATTTTAGATCTTTAAAATGTGACTATAATAAATATTAAGTGACTCAGACGTCACGTTGGAAAATAGTTAAATAAAGTTTCTAATAATTTATGTTACCACCTGACCAGTCTGGTTTTTGTCTTGTTTTGATAATCAAGCAGGAAGTGCAGTTCAACAGACAGGAAGTTAGGAACTCTGGTCCAGTTTATCTGAAGTCTGAGTTTAAAGTGATTTAATCTAGACTTGATCTAAACTGGACTTTGTTTAAAATATGTGGATTTTAGCTGCTATTTTTAAAACAGCCGATGTGAATTAAAAACACGAGGCCGTCTGTCAGCCAACATCTTCTGTCACTCGGATCAGACAAGAGAAGATGAAATTCTGGTTTCAGTCTCATCAGGACTGAATAAAGAAGTCTAGACTGGATAGAAACATCAAAGGAGTGTTTCTTCTCTCATTAAGGCTCATCGCTGGCTGGACTGAAGCAGTCTGAGTTGTTGCTGATTGTCTTTCAGAGAAACGCCAACTCAGTCAAAGTGAAGAAGAAGTCGACCCTCCAGGAAACTGTCCAAGTCCTCCGAGGTGGTGAATAAAAATAAAATGCTTTCCATGCAGATGAACTCTGTTGGTGTTCAGTCGTCCTCTTGTTTCAAACACCTGCAACAGAAGAGTGTAAATTATATTTAGTGAAGAGAATAAAGTTTCCATCTGAAACCCAACAGGACAGTCGGACCCCGACAGACTCAGACCGTCTGCAGGCTTTTAATGTGGCGGGACAACTTCCCATGAAGGTCCCAGTCTCATAACTTTACTTTCCAAAATGATCCATTTCCCTTCAGATTATCAACAGGAAGTCAGCCGGCTCGGACACAGGAAGTCTCTACTGAGCATGCTCATGCATGAGGAAGCCCGTTGAGGCCTTTTCTTTCCCAGTAAGCAACTTTCACAGGAGTGAATGGATCTCAGTGACACATCCAGTCTGTGCGAAGTTGTCGTTTCTCCGATGCTGCAGGGGGCGCAGTGGACAAACCCACAGCAGCAGAGGGAGGAAACGTGACTTCCTGTTGTTTGACTGTACACAGTAGGCTGCTCACTGCAGCGTTTCAATTAACAAAGTCAAAAATTTGTGTAAATATTAACTGATGAGAATTTTGACTAAAAGCAAAAGTGGATGAGCGCTACTCAACACGTAGCGAGCTTCCTCTCCTCGTCCTTCAAGAGACATCTATGCTAGAGCGTCCCTTTGTGTTGAAAAGTGTTGGGGACATTCGGGCTAAGAAGAAGAAAACTTTTAGGAAATGTAACTCGTCACAAATTACAGCAGGTCTGGAAAATAAAAAAAATAAAAAAATCATAACAGTGCATCAAAAGGGGCAAAGCACGAAACTACAGAGCCGACAATACAAAAATACTAAGCACAACGGTGTCGAGCACACAAGTAACCTCATCCATCACATCCACACCTGAAAGTCAGTCAGACAAAGCTGAAATAGGGCCCAGAGAGAAACTTCCGGTCAGCAATCTGACGCGAACACCGAAGCCTGCGTCCTCTCTAGCAGCCAGCAGGGGGCGACTTAAACCTGCGTCCTCTCTAGCGGCCAGCAGGGGGCGCCTTAAACCTGCGTCCTCTCTAACGGCCAGCAGGGGGCGCCTTAAACCTGCGTCCTCTCTAACAGCCAGCAGGGGGCGACTTAAACCTGCGTCCTCTCTAACAGCCAGCAGGGGGCGACTTAAACCTGCGTCCTCTCCAGCGGCCAGCAGGGGGCGACTTAAACCTGCGTCCTCTCTAACAGCCAGCAGGGGGCGACTTAAACCTGCGTCCTCTCTAACAGCCAGCAGGGGGCGACTTAAACCTGCGTCCTCTCTAGCAGCCAGCAGGGGGCGCCTTAAACCTGCGTCCTCTCTAGCAGCCAGCAGGGGGCGACTTAAACCTGCGTCCTCTCTAGCAGCCAGCAGGGGGCGCCTTAAACCTGCGTCCTCTCTAGCAGCCAGCAGGGGGCGCCTTAAACCTGCGTCCTCTCCAACAGCCAGCAGGGGGCGACTTAAACCTGCGTCCTCTCCAGCGGCCAGCAGGGGGCACCTTAAACCTGCGTCCTCTCTAGCAGCCAGCAGGGGGCGACTTAAACCTGCGTCCTCTCTAGCAGCCAGCAGGGGGCGACTTAAACCTGCGTCCTCTCTAGCAGCCAGCAGGGGGCGCCTTAAACCTGCGTCCTCTCCAACAGCCAGCAGGGGGCGACTTAAACCTGCGTCCTCTCTAACAGCCAGCAGGGGGCGCCTTAAACCTGCGTCCTCTCCAACAGCCAGCAGGGGGCGACTTAAACCTGCGTCCTCTCCAGCGGCCAGCAGGGGGCACCTTAAACCTGCGTCCTCTCTAGCAGCCAGCAGGGGGCGACTTAAACCTGCGTCCTCTCTAGCAGCCAGCAGGGGGCGACTTAAACCTGCGTCCTCTCTAGCAGCCAGCAGGGGGCGACTTAAACCTGCGTCCTCTCCAGCAGCCAGCAGGGGGCGACTCCAGCAGCTGCAGAAAGAAAATGTTTCTACTTGTCAGCTGATTTATTCCCTCAGTAAACACTTTCCTGATGAGTTTCTGGTCTCAGTCGCTAGTTTCAAGTCTTCTTCAACACAGCATGATGTTCATTTAGTAAATTATGGTCCCATTTAGAGGAACAGAGACCAGGAAGCAGGGGAGGCTTTAGGGCGGGGCTACAAGCTGATTGACAAGTCGCTACCATGGCGACGACGGATAACGTGAATTATAGATGCACCTAGCTAAGCTAGCTAGCTCCGCACACGGCCGTTAGCCATCTCGTCCAAATATGGTCACGTCCGGTTCCGCTGGTTGCAAAAACTCAACATGGCGGCGCCCTATCAGCCAAACTCGAGGCTTCAAAACGGCAGTCCACAAACCAACAGGTGACGTCACCATGACGACACCCACTTCTTGCATGCAGTCTGTGGGCTGAGCAATAAAATTTAAGTATCACAATATAATTTTCCTCTAACAAAATAACAAATGTTCAATATATCAATGAATGTTTGAATTCATTTGAATCAGGAACGAATCAGCACTTAATGTTTCTACTAAGATCTTTATTTTGTTGAGGAAAAGGGACTGAAAACAGATTTGACTTCATTTTCCTCCTGCATGTTTGTTGAGAAGAGATTTTCTCAGAATAGTTGTGAATGTTCTGCCTCAGATTTGTGAAGTGATCCTCTGTTTGGCATCAAGTGTTTGTTCTGAGCAGAAAGAAAAGTTTCAAACCACATTAACTTTCACTCAGGAGCAAAAAACAGCCTTTAAACTTTGTTTTTAAAAAAATCAAATGATGTGAAGTGTTTTTATCGTGATAACATTTTTCATTCCGCCCTGTGTCAAAACCACATCAGCCCAGCTGTAACAGGATCCGTCTCCGCCCTGGTGCAGCTACCTTTACATTTTTAACAAATGATGCTTTTAGAAAGTGACGGGGACAAAATGAGCTACTTCAGAAAGGGACATGTTCCCAGCAGCCCCAGGGTAACGGTCACCTACGTGACAGGCGGGTAACGACGAGAGCGAGCCAGTAACCGGACAGAGCAGGTCGCAGTGACTCCGTTAGTGAAAGTCTGATGTTTCCCTGCTGGACAGTGAAGGCGGTTAGCGCTGGCTAAGCTGAGCAGCGCTGGGCGGAGTCACATGACCACACACAGTGGGGGGGGATATTTGACCAACAGGGAAGGCACAGACTGAGTGAAGAGCTGCTGCTGGCCCTCCAGAGCCTCACCTCCATCGCATCAGTGCAGCGGGGCCCGGCTCTCCTCGTCCTCTAAGTCTGGTTTGGGGAACTCGCTGGACTGCAGAGACACAAAGAGGAGAAACAGGTCAAAGGTCAGATCCTCCTGTGCAACAGGCTTCACTTCCTGTTTGGCAGAACACGATATCCCGGGAAGCCTCACGACTCAGAAAACATCAAGGTGAAGTTCTGCACTCGTAGCTCAAAGTCCATGTTCAGCTTAGTGAAAACTTTATTTTGTCTCCATGAGAGTCTGGATCAGATTACTGTGGTGAACAGCGGTTCTGATCTGGACCTGAGACTACGTGGTTGGTAACTGTGTGAAGTCTCGCAGGCTTATAAAGAAAGAAGAAACCGCGATGATCCAGTTCTTCACCGTAGCGGAGCAGCAGCTCACACTGGAGAGTTTAAAGGGTTAATTATCGAAGAGAGCGTCCAACATGACAGAACGAGGCTGCAACTCATTTAATGTTTTTAAAGTTAGTGTCTTTATTTTGGCATCTAACCGGAAACTCAACCGTCCCCCAGCCGGCGTCTCCTGGCCTCCACCTGCTGATCATTTTGGGACAGTTTATTGTGAAAACCAGCCCACAGGAAGAGGCGGGGCTCCAGTAGCAGGTTGTGGCCCTTAAGTCCTTAAATCTGTTAAGTCGATTTAATTGGTCTGTTTTACGAAGTTCAGTGTGAACTAAAATCTGGTCTCACAAACAAACTTCACTAAACCTTTTTATTCTGTTCTGTTCGATTTCAGTAAAGTCTGCGAACACGGGCCCCAGTCTGTCCCCTGCAGCTGCACTGGTTCCCTCAGGAGCCTGCAGGGCCCCTCAAACATCGATGAGTAACGTTCAAGGCACGACTGGCTGAAAGGAGTTCCTGTGCCGAGGATCAGGATGATCCAGGTTTAAGTTAAAGCTGCTGTGAAGAACCAGAAAGTCCAGACTGATAATCAATAATCTGCAGCAACATAATCTGGAGAAGGAAATCTGAGAAAACGTTTTAACGAGTTTAAAAAACAGGATGTAAACCTGGAGTCATGGACCTGGTCAGAGGCCGGACCTCTGTTGTAATCAGACACAAGAACAGCTGACCTGTTTTAAATGTCCAGAATGATTCTAATGAACAAACTATCCTGCAGCTCTTTTCTGTCACAGCTTTTATTTTCATTTCTTTTCTCCTGCCTGTATTTTTAATTTGCTGTGTGTGTAGCAGACATGTGGATTAAAGTTCTCTGCTGTGGGCCGGTTCTGTTAGTGATGATGGTCAATTAATGCCGCTCTGATATGTGGGTCTGATCTGGATCAAGAACCCGCCTCATTTCTTCTCTTTCAGAAACTGTTTAGACTCCAGTTTTCTAATCGATACATCATCAATATGTTTGTCTTCAAACCAGCAGGAGCTGGAGATTCAGAGCTGATCATCAATACCTGATCAATAACCTGTTTATCTCCTACCTGGCAGGTGTGGCTGCTGGTCCCGGAGCTCTCTCCGCTCTGTGGCCGCTGCTGGATCCGGTCCCGGTGGAGCGGCTCTCCGCGGTCCCCCGCCGGGATGGAGGCGTCCAGCTCGGTCTGCAGGTCCAGGATGTAGTCGATGACGTGCTGCAGGATCTCCACCCTGCTGGCGGCCCGTCCGGGCGGCAGACCGGGAACCAGCTGCCGCAGCAGCCGGTAACACAGGTTCATGTCCTGCAGCAGGAGCTCCGGAACACGCGGCTCGTCCTCCTCCGCCGCCGCCGGGCTCTTGTTCCGGTAGGAGCCCCGCAGAGAGCAGCGCAGGCTCCGGCGGCTCCGGCGGCTCCGGCTGAGGGCGCCGCTGCTCCTCCTCCTCCTCCTCCTCCTGCCCGCAGACGGCACCGGGCTGCCGGGTCTCATGTCTCCTGGCGGTCGCTGCAGCTTCACATGAGAACAAACAGCATCACTGAGACACGGAGAGAGGAGCCTCACTGAGCTGCGGGAGGAGCGCCGGGCTGCTTATAGAGCCGCTGCAGGCTGAGCTGCACGCTCATTGGCTCTCAGCGGAGTCAGTCAACTTCTCAAGCCAGCTGATTGGTCCCTGAGCGAGCAGCGAGTCCAGCAGCTCACCTGTCACCTGCCTGCTGTTCAGGAGCAAAGAAGTCCTGCAGATTGTGCAACATCATATATTAGTATTTGTAATTATTCAAGGTGCGAATCTGGGAGGACTGTTGCTGCATCTCAGGACCTGATCTTCAGTTCAGTCTGAGTGAAACTGCGGCTGCTTCAGCTCAGAGCCAGGAGGTCATGTGTCTGTGCAGCAGATCTCCAGATTCAGAACTCCAGGTTTTCATGTAAATTTGCTAAAATCTGTTTCCAGCTGTTATTTAACCAACATTACTAAAGACCTCTAAATGTAAAAGTGAAGCATCTAATGATGCTGCAGAGAGAAGATTTAAGGAGACGAGTGTTGACTCAGCCTTCAACTGTTATTTCATTAACTCAATAATCTAAAGATGCCACATGTGTTTAATGTGATCCTGTTCTGATGTGAAAGAAAAGTCCAAACACAGATTTAGACCAGCCTGCAGCCTGCGGCCTGTTCCAGACCAACCGAGTCCAGAACCTGTTTGTGGTTTGAGCTCTGTGTTCAGAGGGAAGCCGGTCCACACATCACAGACATGAGAGTGTCTCACTGGACCAGGTCTTTATTCCTCTGCTGCTGTTTGTCGCCTTAATCTGACAGAAAAGGTCACTTTGTGTTGAGAAGAGGTGGGACAAGAGGCTCAGATCAGGGCTGCGAGGAGACACTTAGCCGGAGAGACATCACGATATCAGCTTCACGAGAACGAGACCAGATCTTTAAACAGTGTTTTAAAGTCATCATCAAAGCCGAGCTATATGAGTGGCCCCAGGAAATTTAGATCATTAAACACTTCATTTTGTTCAAGTTACCGATGTTCTGGTGTCATTTTACAATCAGCAGCTTGTTTGTTTTGGCTGAAGACGATTTGTTTCTTCTATATTTTATTTATTAATTTTCTAAAGGCTTTTTTAAATTAAACACATTATACTTTAAAAAAGTGGTGGGGACATGTCCCCAATGTCCCCAGTGTCCCCAGCGTCAGTGTCCCCAGCGTCTCCAGTGTCCCCAACTTCCCCAGTGTCCCCAGCATCCCCAGCGTCCCCAGTGTTTCCAGCTTCCCCAGCGTTCCCAGCGTTCCCAGCGTCCCCAGTGTTTCCAGCTTCCCCAGCGTTCCAAGCGTTCCCAGCGTTCCCAGCGTCCCCAGTGTTCCCAGCGTCCCCAGTGTCCCCAGTGTTTCCAGCTTCCCCAGCGTTCCCAGCGTTCCCAGCGTCCCCAGTGTTTCCAGCTTCCCCAGCGTTCCAAGCGTTCCAAGCGTTCCCAGCGTCCCCAGTGTCCCCAGTGTTTCCAGCTTCCCCAGTGTTCCCAGTGTTCCCAGCGTCCCCAGTGTCCCCAGTGTTTCCAGCTTCCCCAGTGTCCCCAGCGTTCCCAGCGTTCCCAGTGTTCCCAGTGTTCCCAGCTTCCCCAGTGTTCCCAGCGTCCCCAGTGTTTCCAGCTTCCCCAGCGTTCCCAGCGTCCCCAGCGTTCCCAGCGTCCCCAGTGTTTCCAGCTTCCCCAGTGTTCCCAGTGTTCCCAGCTTCCCCAGTGTTCCCAGCGTCCCCAGTGTTTCCAGCTTCCCCAGTGTCCCCAGCGTTCCCAGTGTCCCCAGTGTCCCCAGTGTCCCCAGCGTCCCCAGTGTGCCCAGCGTCCCCAGCGTTCCCAGTGTCCCCAGTGTCCCCAGTGTCCCCAGTGTCCCCAGCATCAATGACACCTGTGACTGATCGTGTAGGTTTAACAGTCTCAGGGTCTCTTTAGCGGCTCGTTCTGGAGCTTTCAGTCCGTTTGCTCAGTCGCTTTGTTTCCTCACGCTTTGTTTGTTTTTTCGCAGTTGGTTACCGTGGCAACTATTAACATAAGCAGAAAAACAAACAGCTGTGGAGAAATGTGGTTAACCTGCACGCTGACTGAATTTATTCCCACCTGACGTTATCTCCCCAGGTGAGCGCAGCTTCACGTCGATGTTATCTCTCTAACGTCTCTTTCACCACAAACAGGAAGCGAGCGGCCCGCTGCAAAGGTCCAGACCTGGAGCAGATCCAGATACAACCCTCTGATGCACACATTTAACGCACTTAGATAAAATAACAGCCGCAGTTTGAAATGTAAATGATCCAAATCGATCACAGCAAACAAAACAATAGCAGGAGTCAGTTCTGTTTTCTACATCAGGTTTAAAGAGCGACCTCCTTCCTTCGTTGGTCTCAGTTCACCTCTATAAAGACCACCTCGTAGTTTAGTCCAGCTAAAGCCTGAGGCCGCGTGTGCAGACAGAAAGCTGCAGCTAAATCACTTTAATGTGTCTGTAATAAGCAGGTGAGCTGAGCGACAGTCTAGACACCTTAATGTGGTGCGTTCAGGTTCGACTGGGTAATTACAGCTTTCTGTGTTTTAGTCTGAGCCATTAAAGTCACCTGTAACAGCAGAAGATCAGAGTTTAGAGCTTAGCTTAGCATAAAGACTGGGAACAGCTAGCCGGGTCTGATTCAGCTGGATCGTGTGTGATGGAGTAAAATAAGTCTTTCAGACTCAGTGTGCAGGAGAAGCTGTGAGGGCAGAACTCGTTCTCTAGAGCCGGTGTTTGCTTTGTCCGCTCCGGGCTCCTGTAGAAACAGGCCCGGGACGCCAAACGTTTTTGATGGTGGGCTTTTTGCAGTTTTTCATTCTTCAGACGTGGTTTCATGTACTGGGTTGGAAACACAAGAAAAGTTGTGAATTTGAAGCGCACCTGAGCTGCAGCCTGTGAGCAGCTGGACTCCTGCACTCTTTGTAAGACAAACAACAAAAGCCTGTTGTGCTGCGGCGGCGGCGGCGGTGACAGTGTCCTCTGTTAGGGAAATGTCTGTGCACAACAGTAAAACCCCTCTGTGGCCTCCTGGATTTGAATAAGGCAGCCAGCGGCGGCCGCAGGCCGTGTTTTGCATGTTCCAGCTGCGTGTTGGTGGATCAGAGCGGCGCTGCGAGCTGCGAAGCTGCAGGCAGACGCAGATCACACGCAGCGATAAGATGCAAAGTCTGAGGACGGATCGTCCCGCTCTTTACACAGCGGGACAAATGTCACAGCTGCTGCGCCTCCGGACAATTAAGGCTGCAGTCAAATGAGAGGTGCAGTCGTCATCTGTCACAGTGAATAACAGGAAATAGGTCACCTCGCCTCACGTTACAGTTCAGCATCCCAAACCCTGTCCAAGTCCTTACATGGACACGTCCTGCCTCTGTGCAGGTCTTTGGACTAACAGGATCAGGTCTCTGAATGAACGGGCAGGTTATTCTTCTACTGCACATGCACGAGCTTCCAGAGCGCCGGGACGCCATGAGCTCATCCCACCGGAGCCTCTTGTAGTGCTCCAGACCGCTTTTTGATGGTCTCAGTCTCGTCTCTGACTCAGACACTGAGGACTATTTCAAGAACAGTCAATAACTTTGGGAATATCAATAAATTAGTTTTGCTTTGTCTGATTTATTTGTTAAAATCCGAACTTTGATGTAAAACTTGTTGCTTCATATTAAACCAGTAACCCTGATTAAAATGTGTTGTTCCCGTTAACGGCTGCCCCCCCCCCCCCCCCGCGATGGTCAGCGTGGGAAGGCGTGTTGAATAAAGATGCTGACTTCAGCTCTTAGGGAATGTGGATCTTTCAGATCAGTTTGAGACTTACCTCTGATCTCGATCCACATTTATTGTCTGTCATGTAATGTGGGGAACTGGTCTTGGTCTCGACTCGGTCTCGGTTTGGGGGGTCTTGACTACAACAGCTAACTGAGGTTCTGCACACAGTCGGCACATCCTGCAGTACTGCAGGTCACACCTGGAGCCAGTAACGCAGTATTTCTGTAGACACGTATCCTGATCTGGTCCCACCTGCTCCTCCCGCCGCCACATCTGAAACTGAGGTCAGTGGAAACACACGATTGGCTGAATATGTTTCCCGGCGGTTCCCCCGGTGCTGAGCGGACAAAGCGTCCATGTGTGACAGGTACAACTGGGATTGTGATGAGAACGTGTCGCTGATCCAGAGCAGGGCGACGATCTTTACAGAGGTTTTCTGTTCTGGATTTAAACTGCTGTTCAGCTGGAGAGACGTTTTCACTTTAACTGTAAGAGCGAAAGCTCATGAAAGGACGTGAGCTCTGAAACCTAAATGATTTGGACCAGAAGAAACAGGACTCTGTCTCTGAGCTGCCAGCCAATCAGGAGCCAGTATTGTTTGGTATGCGGCCTGTTTATCTCTCTATGGTCCTGATGTTGGTGTGTGGCTGCTCATCAGACAGTCCTGAGGGGGGGGGGGCTGTGTGATGTGTTCTGTACAGCCGCGGTGCTGCAGGGGCCCTCGGGGGCCCTCGGGGCTCAGCTGGTGGAGCAGGAGCAGCATTGTGCAGCTCTGAAGTCAGCGAGGTGTTAGCCGGGGGGGGGGGCAGGTTGAGGTCGGGGATGAAAGGCAGCCCCCCCCACAGGGCTTCAGTGCTCCGGCCAAGAAATGTCATGTTGAGCATCTGGTGTGAAGCTGCAGCCTCCTCTTCATCACCTTCAGGTACTTGAACCCCCGATCACCATCAGACAACATCTGCCGTGTATTTATACACTGAGTAAAAGTACATGATAATAAGTCCGTGCCTCAGAAGTCCCATGATGCATGGCGGCGGTGGAGGGAGTTAAAATGAGCTTGAAATACAACATTTCCTCTGTGAATTCTGTTTTTTAAACGTGTCTGTGTGTTTTTTTATACAGTCTCTGGGTGAGACAGAGCGGCTGCACTGATCTCTGACCAATGAAAGCAATTCTCTTGTACCGTCGCGTCTACAAGCAAATGACAACGCATTTGCGGCCATGCAGGGGGCCCCTACCTAGCCGGGGCCCCAGGCACCCACGCTATCTCCGCTTATGGTTACGTACGTAAGTTACAGGACTTCACTAAAAGGAACCAGTGTTGACTTTTTGTTTCATTTGGAAATCGAGCACCGGTCACTGGGCTGAGGTCCGGTTTCTGGTCCATCCAACCAACCAACCACCTCCTCACTCCCACATTTCTGTCACTGATAGTAGAACCTAT